GGACAGGCGCCAAAAAAGTAGAGCTTCTATCAGAGTATGATATGTTAAAATTTATGGGCAAGTAATGTGAGGATCGACCTTGTACACCTGAAAATAAGTTAAGAGGAAGCATAAATAGAAGGCAAACAAAAATTTGGTATATTCTGCCAGGAACAATATAATCCCTTACTGAGAATAACACCATCCCGGCTCGCATTTATCCAGGTTCCTGAACTCAAGCCAGGACCTTTTGAAAACAATGTTGATGAGTGGTCGACGATATCGGCAGCTGTAGTAATGGAAAGGTGAGGAGCGGTCATGAGATTTCGAGGTTGGGGTGTAAGCCAGCCAGCCGGACTTGATCGCGCAACAGTCAGGATTTGCGGAAAGGAGACGGTTGGGGTTAAATGATCATAGAAAATAGCATCTTGGCGATTTAAACTTATTTTTCGTGGCTGAATACCAAAAGATAACTGTTGACTAGTAGCTGAAACATAATGTGAACAATTAGCGAATGATTGATGCAGTAAGATAGAAAATAAAAATTGAATTACATGGATAAGCCGCGGCTGCTGAAAGCTGGCGCCGAATTAGAGGGCGACGAGAAAAAGTGGCAGATTCTATCGGAGAAGCAGTATGTCGAGGAGAGGGCGTCTTGGTGATAGGAGATATATGACATGTATTAACGTCAGGCAAGGCACCGTCCAAGTGAATTTGAATATGTTCTTTAATCCCATCTTGATGAGGATGCTTTGAGGATGGAAGAGAGAACTTTCTCTCCAATTTTTGTGCAACTGGATTGATCTGCTTTGTATAATTAATTTCAGATTTATCAAGAATAAGTGGGGATATGATGGTTTCTTCATCAACATGATTCGAAGAAATATTTACGCCAGCTAATCTGTTATTTTGAGTTTTAGAAATTTGTTGAAATTGGGAAAAGGAAGAAGAACGATGTCGAGTTGCTCTGATACCAAGATCAGAAAATATAGTATTCTGTATATCTTCTTTTCCGTCAATATGAGCGCGGGAAATATCGTAGCTTATAAAAGAATCTATTGAAGGTGAACCAGTAGAATTGTGAGA